AAGGTGCCTTCTATGAGGATAATTCTAGCTTCAGGTACCCTCTATGGGGATAAATATAGGTAGAGGTACCTTCGATGGGGATAGTTTTAGCCTGAGGTATTTTCTGTAGGAATGATTAGGGTGATATATGGGAGAATCTCGAAGCTTTAGGATTCTGGGTTTATCTTGGGGTGCGGGCCGCTGCCGATTGGCCCAATTGCACCTGGCTGCACTTCTCGTCCCTTTCTCGTGCGCCTCCCCGCTTCACGTGTTAGCAGTCTGTTGCAGCTGTAAATACCATCGTTGCATAGCTACACTCGGCAGTGACCAGGGATGCGATACGGCAGCTAGACCTGGGTTGTAGTGGAGTCTGCATGTCCAGATCTCGAGGCAGTTTCAAGGTATATATTGCTGGAAAGACACGGGATATCTTGCCAACTGCATCTTCTTGAAGGAAGCAGTGGTAGAATCGGGCATTCTCTCCTTGGAATCGGCGGATAGACCCCAGAACCCAAGGAATTATTATGGATTGGGCCAGAATTTAAGTTTGGACCAGCGACTGTGCATCAGCTGAAACCATGATATCTCTTGCCACGCCTCAGCGGCAGCAGGGTTCTGCAGGAATACGTCTACTATCGATGGTATCTCGACATCCAAACTGCATTCTTCAAGAGTCGGAGAACAATGTAGCCTAGCGACATGAAGCTTGGGTTTGTTGGGCCAAAGAGGGCGCTGCTGATGTGCAGCTTGCACACCGAGCTCAAAGTAGCAAACCAGGCATTGATCCTTAGTTTAATCAGTATGAGAATTGGAGATATAATGAAATTGGTCTTATAAGACCATAGAAGCAAAAAATAACACTCGGAAGAAGGGTCGCACGAGTTCTGCATCTGTTGTGCCTCCTCCAACAAGAGGTACCGCTTGGCATCTTCGGACTGGTCGAACCAGGCCGCCAGATAATGCCTCGTGGGGTCGTGTGGTGAGCCGGGTTTGGGGAATTATAGAGATCCCTATTTAAAGCTTCGAAATATCAAAAAAATCAGATAACGAAATAACTCGAGTTGAGTAGCGTGCACTTCGCCATGAGCTTCAGGCTACCAGAGGGATCATCAGGACTTTCACGGTAGAGCGCTAGCAAGAAGGAAGCCAGCCAAGCCACAACCACTCGAGCCTAAGCATGATCAAGGTCAAGATTTGGATTTGGGATTATAGTAGAACGTTTAAAATGGTGTTCGGGATTTTAAAGCTTTCGGGTATTGGTGTTTGAGTTTCAGGTTTGGGGTTTCGGGTTCGAGGGTTTATGGGTTTGGGGCTTGGGGGCACCATTGTGGATTGAAAGATTTCTGGCACCATTGCGATGTCAAGCTGCATTGTAAGCTTTAGCGCGAAGCTCTGGAAACGGGCCATCGGGCGACTTCAGGGACGCAGTGGTGAACCGAGGTTGTGTGTTCCTCATCGCGACTTAAGCTTCTGATGGGTGCAGGAAGATCGAGGTCATTATATTCCAATTTCAGGATGACAGCTACGTAGCTATGCACTGATGCAGATGAAAGGCGGAACCTTGCGGTCGTGACACCACTGCTTGAAGGATTCATGAGCTGTCCGCAGCCTCTGTGAATCCTCGCCCTCACCAAAGGCCCCCGGGAAATCCAGAAGGAGAAGCTTGAAACAGGATCCCACAACCCAAAGCACCACTCCCAAGTTAATAACGTGCATAGAGCACCACTTGTAAGAGGCCACTGCTGCTCCTGGAAGATCGAAGAGCGGGCCTTGGAAGGGGTTTGTAAATAGTCCTGAGCATATAAAGCTATGCAACTTGTAAACAAAATGGGTTTAGTCATGATTATTATCAAATCATTACAGGCCCAACGGTGATCAGTTCAGACTCCGTGCTTCGGATACCACGGTGTACACAGGAGTTCCGGATCTCGTCAAGGGTTCGCCGAGGCAAGTCATGTAGAAGCGACGGTGCAACAGCAAAAGCCGTGTGTGTTACCCGACAGTGGTGACACAACTCCCTGGATGACCACCCCGTAGTCAGGTTCAGCCATTCCTCGGTACATAGCGCGATGCCACAGTGTGAACATTGTCGCAGCTTATGTTGTATGCACTATCGATTGTTTGTAGAAGGTACATGTCTCAAGGCACAGAATCTTTCTGCCACTTCCAATCCGCCCTGACTTGAGTGCACATAGCCCGTAGCATCACCGACTCACCGGCACGAGAAACAGCCACTCCATTGACCATGAGGTGGAAGCTCTTCACCACCTGGGATAGTTCAAGGCGGCATTGCAGGGTTTGGTATGTACATGTGGAAAGGCCTTATTGGATAGTGCATTGTAACGAATTGCATCTCTGAAGCAAGACTATTTTTAAATGCATCGGCCGCACTGGATCCATGTAGGCCGCAATTGTAGCCATACCAGTACTGATCTCCTTGGTGTCGAGCACTATGTATTTTGTATCAGGGGTAGAGCCGTCTTCATATTTGTTTTTGGTTGAAATGTAAGTTGTATCTATGCATATGTATGCAATTGCGAGTCTAAGTAAAAGTCAACATATTATAGCTGGTACATAGCAGGTCATATATATCTATTGGGAGATGTAACAAAATTCATCGGGTACTGGGAACACGAGTGTCTACAATCATGTTATCTGGAGTGTAGGTTGTATATACATATATATATATATGTATGTATAGAGTGCGAACAAGTATCGCAGCCACACACCCAAAGTGGGAAGCAACTGGTGTATGAGTCCCGGTTAGGATCCAAACAGTGGCCCAGCATGCACACCATCACCTTCTGATTAATCTTCTTGCCGTACCGGCAATCATCACCCCACAGCCAGACTGGGTGATGCTCCTTTGTAGGTGGCTCAATCCCTGTCGAGAATTCTCTTTGGTGGTCCCAATATCGGTAAACATCTTCCATAGCAACATGGGGCCAGACTCCCACACGAACCAGCCAAGGAAGTAGTTTGTGTGGTAGAAGAATCGGCATCGCCCTGATCAGGAGTACATTAATAAAAGCTGGAATTAACAGAATCTCTTGTATGTATAGTTGTGGTTTAGAACACCCTGCCCTAGCTAGGAAGCCCGAGATAGGCCCTTAAAAAACCTGCAACAACAGGAACCCCGGCCTCTGCTCCACCTTCTTCGTCCCTTTTTCAGGCCGGATAGGGACATCCACGTAGTCGATGGGTGCCTGGGTTTGGTGGGATCGATGTACTATCTTGGTTATTTTGAGTAGCTTCCGTCTATCTGCATAATTAGACCGGTTCTTGGTGAAAGTGGTACAGGTCCAGGAGTTGATTACAAAAGGGTTTTCTGCACTAAGCTGGACTACATTAACCAGGTGGCATCATCACCAGTGGAGCTCGTGCGCAACATGTCCCGCTGTATGTTGCTAGCCCATTTGCCCTCACAGCCGGCTGTCACAAGTCGGGCACAAGGCCCTTGCATCTTCACACCATGCCAGCTCATCTCCTGCGAAGGACGATGGATGTTGCTTTGTATGTGCATGCGAGCTATAATTGGATAAGAGATCAGCAATACAATCGTGATCGGTCTATTATGATGTACAACATGGCTTTGCTCAGACTGTCCTCCTTAACAGCTTGCAAAGACTCCCGGGCGCTCTTGAAGGAAGCCTTGCAGCAGCAGATATGCCACACACACATAGGCATCCTGCGGGGATATATGCATGTTGACTGCCATAACATACTTTCGGGAGTCCTTGCAGCCAAGCTGCTCCACGACCCACAGCCCGGAGCAAGTGCTGGAACAAAGGTGATGTCCTTGCTCTTGCAAGATCACCTGCGGAGGGGTGTGTTTGCCAGGATCGGTTGCTATGCTTCAGCGTTGGTTTGCATGCAATTGGGATCGACACACAAGCTGTGCGGGACAATTCTTTTCGGCAGCTGCCCTTGGCCGATAGGATGTCAGGCCATGTAGAAGCTTTTGAAGCCCTGCTTCTAGGAAAGCAAGAGCATGTGCACTCGAACTTTGGATATCGGCAGCTCCACCAAAATCCTGAAGCATTCCCCTGCCGAAGGTTCTAGCAGCATGCCAGTGTGCACAGATCCAGGACATAAACCCAAAGTGTTAGGGTAATATATAGCAGATAGCAGTATATACATGTCGAGGCTAGAATCTGAAGTAGAGGTTACGAGTCACATGTGACATAATAATATTAAGATCCCAGATCACACGGCACACTGCAAACTGGGCCCTCAACTGAATGCTTCAGCCCACACGAGCTCCGTCTCAGATTCTCCCGGCTGTGATCATCGTGCTCGTCCCTTCGCCTTGGCCTTGGGCTTCGGCGGATCCTGGGATTGGTGTCTTTAGACTTGATGGTTCAGGGTTCACTGCTTTGTTAATAAGCTACACCTATGAGTATTCGTCATGTGATTTGCTGCACTGATCACAATCTGTAGTTACTTGTATCGTAGGGGTTTCCCTATCCCTAAACCTTATAATTAAAACCTTCACCCAATACTATCTTCCTGAGTTCTGAATATTTATTTGTTAGCATACACGATGAAACATACAGACAAAAGTCAGCTAGAAGTACGGTACGGTATTAATATATTTAGCATCAAGCTAAAATAAACTTAACAAATCCTATACATGTTTATATTAGAGTTGGCACTGGGGTCATTGCCATATCATGAATATCCACGTTCCTGAATGCCCATCTTGATGCTTGACGTTCCCCTCTTCGGTAAACATGTCTACATATACACATATTCACATATATATATATATATATATATACACACACATTGTATGTACACATATTCGCGAGATCCATGTGATACTATACGACGACTAGTATAACACAGACACACACACATGCATACACACACACACACACAAACGGCCTACATACACAAACATACTGCCTTCATGTCTATGCTTGCATATGTTCATGTACATGTGTGTGATTGGATTGCAAGCGCTAGACATGTACAGATATATTCCATGTGTACATATATGCTCATGAACATGCAGGGCTCTATATGTGCCTCAAAGGCTCCAGGGTAAGCTTCAGAGGCTTCATGGCCCCGGTGAATGTCGTCGTGGCTGCATCTGCACGATCTAGCAAGCTCTGAATCTCGCTTTTGCTAGCTTCGGCCATGTCTGCATCCTTTGTGTTGTTGTGTACACTGTACAAACCTTCGAGTTCACCTTTGATGCGACTGAACTCATTCCTGTGGGAGTCGAGCTCCTCCTGGTAGTTGTCCTTCGCCTTTTGTGACCTGGGATCAGGATACTTATGAGAATCACCTGTGCTACAGAACACTATTTGTAGGTCAAGGATTAGCATTATGTACATTAAAGTCTAGTGGCAGTGTCGATTCCGACAATTTGGTAGACCACACTATGATATCGGTGAGCTTCCCAGCCATCGCCTGTATCTTCACATTGAGTTTCTTTGCCACACCAAAGTGGTTCACCTTTCCGGTTTTGTTCTTATTGGGGTTCGGCTGGTTCGTGTTTCCGGAAGGATTCGTCAGCGACTCCATGGACTGCGACCTGCCGCTGTACAGCGATCGCATAAGGTCCGAAGCCCCAGCGCCCGTAGCAGCACTTGCGTGGTTCGGCATCAAGACGGGCCTGGGCTTGTACAACTGGTTTCAGGTTTAAGTGAGCTTATAGGGGGTTGAGGTTTGGGGATTATATTATTAGGGCTTGATAGTTTCGGGCCCTTGAGCTTCAAGGGACTTCAGATGCTCCTGAGAAGTTGTGATTGGATCGATGGGTTATATACTGACAAGCACGTAATGGATATAAGTATGTGTGTGTATATATATGGATCCACATATAACGAACTAGACATATATATATATGCATATATGTACATGGCATAGATGCGGCTCGTGCATGATGATCAGAGCAGGCTTTGAGGGAATTCGTACATATGTATATGTATATGTATTTAACCTGATACATGTATGTGTATGTACATATATATATATATACATATGTATGTCTAGTGTGTACATAGCAAGCTGCTAATATACATACACATACGGATGGCACTATATCTGATAATTTTAGCGGTTTTGAATACTAGTTGCCAAAAAAGGGCACCATAGTTTAAAGCTAAACTTCGAGCTAGGCTCGCAAGCTGCCCTGCAGCCTGGGACGAGATGCTGCCTTCCGAGTGGAATGCAGCACTGGTCCTGTTGTTCTCGTTGATCTCAAACTCGATTGTGTCAAACACTCGGAAGAGTTCCCAGTTCTGAGCTCGGACCATATGTACCAAAAGGCTTACAGTACATGAAGTAACCGTAACAGTCATTCAGGAGATTATATTCATCTGCTCGCACACATAAGCCTAAACACTTCAAAACGACATGCATGGTACAACTACACACCCCGAGATTGTTATTAGAGTAGTCTATACAGATTAACCACAGGAGGCCCAGTAAATAACTAGGGTGGCGGGAATGAATAAAGTCCGGGGCTCCGGGTCGTCGATGCCGTCCGGATGCGGCATATAATAAGGTTTCGGATCTGTCTTCGGGTCACGATTTTTCTCCTTCTCATATTTCCGGGCTCGAATGTTATCCGCAGTCTTCTTGCCATACTGGTCGAGTAGCGACTTGTAGCTACGCATAATCTCTTTGGCTTTGAACTTCTCCTCATTCACTCGCGTTGCCTCGATTACTAACTGGGTGTTGGCCCAGTCTTCACCAGCATCGAGCCACTGCTGAAACCACACGCCCAGGGTCTTGAGACGATCTTGGTTGTCATGAATTTTATATGTCGACTCACTCAATCCACGATTAATCGAAGCTCTTCTAGAATTATTAATGCACTGCAAGCCACTGGGCTGCCCTTGAATCTCCTCCAGCTTGTCCAGGACAATCTGCGGACAGTCAGGACCTGAGAGGTTCTATGTTGCATCTACAGAAGAGGGAAGCTCATTACATACTGGATGGCATCTAGATCGTTGCATCTTGAATTGTAAAGACAGGCAGCTGTTGAAGGTTCTGTCGAAGCGAACACGGGCATTGTGCTTGAGCCTTTTGGCCTCCTTAGCCTCCCACTCCTGGCGCTCCTCCTCCGATGCAAACTCACGAGGCTCGGCCTTCATCTTGGTCTGCGTCTGAGCAGCAGGCTTCACGATCTGCTCATCAGGGGTCGGGGCCACTGCAGCCTCTTTCTCGGGTTCGCTCTTCATGGGCTCGTTCATCTTCGGGGGCTGGGCAGCCTGTTCATGTGACATGTATTTTGGGGGGTGCAAAGCTAGAAAAAGCAGATTGCAAAGTTGTGTCCATGTTCACTCTATCCCTGAGAAGATCATTCGACACGATATAGCATATTATCACAGCAAGCCTCAAGCTCCGACGTATCCAGTCGATGCATTGCAGCCCGCATGCCCTGCTGCTGCCAGGATCCAGGGACTGGTGTGGGCCGATGAGCCGTGCCTGGAACCTGAGCGTGGGTTGTCTAATTCAGGTTGATATAGGGTTATTTCTGGAATAGGATCGAGGTAAAAGATAGGCCCCATACACTGCGGTTCTACATATATATATATATATATATATACAGAGCAGGGACTCCAGGAGGAGCAAAGCACAATTAGATCTACCCAAATTGAATATGTTGCAGCATAGGCTCATTTGCGCATAATCTAGAACACATGCTCACACAACTATGCCTAATCAATATAATACAATACGTCTACAAAGTAAGGTTAACCAGTATGGTTGATACACAAGTCGGATGCTAGTAGCCCCAGTTCAAGTCTAGCAAGATGTACCATACCCTTTTCCATCCAGTTATACTAGCAACCAAGACTTTTAAACCCAGACTCGCAACACCCTAGTTTCACGAGCATTGCACAGCAGTACACTAGCCAAGGAAGTGCAATGGAGTCGCAGGGGTTGCTTCCTGAATCCGGCCGATCTAATAATGTTGTGCTTGTTGTAAGCATGTCCACACATATGTTAGCTATAGCTCGTCTGAGTTGAATGGCCAATATCTATCCCGACAATCAGGTTGCATTCATGGGTTAGGGAGTCAGTGCTTACATTCGTAGTTTCATGTATATGCAAGCATAGGTTGGAGATTTGCCTCTGGTCCCGAACAAATCAGAGTCTTGGAACCCCAATGCAACAATATATATGACCGTTGTGGAACCAGCTAGGTGTAGCTAGACATAGAATTAAATGCCCTCAAATGCGCTACAATCAAGTCCAGGTCGAGCCAAATTCCCTATTCTAATTACCCGGCACACACCTAACTGTACGTGCCATATACAGGCGTGTGATGTGGGCTTAAGTCCTCCGGGAGTTAGAAGATTTAGTCTAAGGGCTTTATTACTTGAGGGATGTAAGGAATAGGGGGCTATGGGATGTATGGACACATGCAGCACAAGCACCGGCGAGGCAAGCGCAGATGTGCTGGCAGCATCGGATGCTGCAGGTGCATCGTCTGCTTCCAACTGCATGTTGAGTTGGTTTTCCAACTCCATACACAAAGCAGCCTCATCATCTTCGGTCAGGCTAGCGGTAGCACTCCTGTGTTCGGCCTCCGTATTCTCAAGAAGTTTCACTAGTACCTCAGAGAAGGTGGCAATGTGCTCATCCAGCTTCTTGCATACCTCCTGCCGGGAGAGGTCCTTCTCATCAAGCTTCTGAGAAACCCAGTTGTCGATCTGTTCGAACTTGCTTGTCAAGACCTCCTGAGCTAGATTCTTGTCCTGCTCCCGCTTTTTTTTGTTTGCACCCACTGTTAGGATGACCTGGCTGTACCTCAGGAATTGAGTCTTGGCTGCCTCGTACTCATTCTGCAAGCTCAGCATGCAAAGAGACGTGTCATGAAGGGTTCTGGCTAATCCCCCATGTCCAGAATCCTGAGCCTCAAAAGCCCCGTTGTACTTCGCAACAACCAAGCGAGTCCACTTCAGAACTTCGAAGGCCCTCGACGAAGTATCAGCCTCACCGTTCCGATAAACCCAATCACACAGCTTGCCCGGGCTCTTCTGCATGTCAAGACAGGTATCGCCTTCGGGGACAGCCATCTCTAGGGCGCCGGATGCTTGGAGAGTGTGTGCCATGTCTAGCACAGGGTCTTTGGCCTGACCCACTGCCATAGCATTCTGAAACTCGGACACCAGTGAGTCACCACGGCACAGGCCGACAGTGTCCTGCGTATCCACATGTCTTGGCAGACCTTGGGTGAGAGATGTCTCGGTGCAGTCGAGATTGCAGGAGCTATAGATTGCGGGTTATACTGTTGATGAAGTAGAGATACATACCAAATTAGAGCATTACATTCGGTTGGGCCTCTGGAACGAAGCTGCTGCAACATGGATGCCATAAAGGAGCCATTGGGAATAATAAGAGCGAGGGAGAGAGTGTGTGTGGCATAGCTCCTGGGTTTATCCACCCGTACAGTACAAACATATATACGTGTATGTATGTACACCGATATACGTCCATGTACTTTAATTATATGCAACACCCTATCTAATAATTATTATGCCTGCATCGACAGAAGACCTATCTATATCTATGCATTGTATGTAACTATTTACAATAAGATATGGTATGTGCAACTGTCCAACCCTTAAGAAAGCCCTGGACCCTGGAGCACCCCCAAACTCTCAGTAGCTTCACGAAATACTGTGAGATCCATCACTAGGGCTATTGAGAACGTTCTCCGTATGATGCATCGATCGGAAATGCATTTGCAACTTGCAGACTCGGCCATATGCAACAAGGTGGCGCCCTGCACGACTGTCTCGATGTGGATGCTCAGCAGGTGCATCGTTCTGCTTGGGACCATGGGGAACAGGGGAGAGCTTTGTACCTTCCTGGCCATTGCCTCGGGATTCCTTAGACTCTGTCGACATGTCCTCATTCCGGGGCTTCTTGTTCGGTGCTTCGTTTGCCTTAGCTGGCTCTGCCAACTTGTCCTCATCCTGCGGCTTCTTGTTCGGGGCATCATCAGTCTTCGAGGAAGGAACAGGGGAGAGCTTGGGACCTTCCTGGGCTCCATTGCCTTGGGATTCCTTAGGCTCTGCAGAGATGTCCTGGGTCTTTGCGCGGGGGGTTGAGCGAGGCTTGCTGTCGACCTTCTCCGGAGCTTTGTCAGGGGCCGGGGATGCATGCGCTGTAGTCGGCACTTCCCCAAAGATATGGCACTTACTAGGCATCATGGGTACCTGGTTGGCCACGGGCTCCTCCAGCTGGGTCTCCTCGAGTGTGTCCTGAGATCCGGCTTGGGTTGATTGGAATCAGGACAGTACAATAATGAAACTAATAGCCTATAGAAGCATGTACAATGTAACCTATAATACGATATATAAGTGCACTGCCCTTATAAAGTTTTAATAGAGTAGAACAAGTCTCACTCGGATCCGCAGTGACCCTAGCCTTCTTGTGGTACGGGCTCTTGATCGGAGGGGAAGCCATCATAGCAGGAACAGCATCTTTAGCAGCTTCGGCAAAGACAGCAGACAAGTCCCTCCTGGGGTTGGTTGCAAAAGGGGACGAAGCCGGCTTCGGAGGAGGTGTCGAGGTCCTTGTCCCTTTAACCCGCACAGGTTCTGCATCTGTCTCCTTTGCCTTGGCGCCTCGGCTGCTTGCTTTGGCACCTGCCCTCGGTTTGCTTTTAGGGGCGGAGTTAGGCTCGGGGTTCGCAGTCTTGATGGCGGCTTCCACAGCATTTTTCGAAGAAGTCGAAGGATTCGAACCAGCATCACCTAGCATGCATTCCACAATTGCAACAACATCTCGCACACTTATTACGAACCGACAGTGATCATGAGAGACATTGATGATTGCAAATTATCGGATTAGTGTGCAACCTAGCAGCTCCCAATAGATTTTCTGCTGTTGACACGACGAAGAGCTTGCTGCATCTCGGCTTCCATGTCGAAGCCCTCGGGGGATTGGGTGTCCATGGATTATATAGGGACAGGACTGGGTTCTAGTCTTGCCCAAATCAGTCCAGGAGCTGCCTTTGCAGGTTTGCCCTTCTTGGGCTTGTCGGGGTAAGGTGCAGAACGCTCGGCACCACGGGACATGGCGTAGACACAGCACCCTTTACGTACACAGCCCAGAGAAACGAACGATCCCAAAATGTGAAAACTGGTGGCCCCAGCACTGGAGAGGACTACGTACAGCCAATAGTACAGCCCAGGACCCGTTTCACATTTTTAACATGGTTTTCACGCCCAGTTTTAGGTATTCGGAACCTTTGGGCTGGTTTTCACGCCATTTCACGCTATTTTCACATGGCTCCCCTACGTAGTCCTACCTGGCCTTTTGGGGACCCAAATCCTGAAGAGCCGGGTGTGCACATTCCAAACCAGGTTTTACATAGAGGGAGGTGATCGGGGAAGCACGCAACCAGGAACCCATGCCTGTATTCACAATGTGTGACATAATGTACAGCAGCTGGTAGCTAGAATAGTTGCACATTCAGACAGGAGCCGATTAAGAAACCCCATCATTCAGCCAGGTCCTGTACTTCGAACATATAGTATCCGTCACAACCCTTGACTGATTGATGCGAGTACACTTTTCGCTCGTTCCTGACTGGAGGCTTCAAGCACGCTGCTTCCAAGCTGCTGCAATCGGTGCAGAAGGCAGGCAGAATAGCAACAGTCAGATACAAGCTGCTTACACTTGGCAGACCAGCGAAAAGCATAACCCTACACTCTCCTGTAATAATAACTAATCAATAGCTATGCAGAACAGTAGAATCCTGCTCATAGGTGTGACTTCCTTCCCTGCATATGTATTCACACAGCTTTGCTATAGCGATGTCATCAGGATATCTAGCAATGGGGTTTGGGATCCTCTAGCAGTTAGGTTACCAGACAGTATGTCCACCTCAGGGCACCCAGGTCACATGGCTAGTTTGTACCCATGCTAGATGTTTGTGATAATGGGTTCATGCACACTAGATTCCAGACCTTCTCGCTATCAATTTGGGTTTAGACTGCGAGATAGAGACCAAGACAGAGAGAGAGAGAGAGAGAGAGAGAGAGAGAGAGAGAGAGAGAGAGAGAGAGAGAGAGAGAGAGAGAGAGAGAGAGAGAGAGAGAGAGAGAGAGAGAGAGAGAGAGAGAGAGAGAGAGAGAGAGAGAGAGAGAGAGAGAGAGAGAGAGAGAGAGAGAGAGAGAGAGAGAGAGAGAGAGAGAGAGAGAGAGAGAGAGAGAGAGAGAGAGAGAGAAAAAGAGAGACCGAGAGGGAGAGACAATATCGGAAATAGATGCCTGGCTATGATCTGGCTAGACAATGGGTCTGTTCCATGAGACTACAAGCACCAGCAGCAGCTCCGTGCACAAATTGGCAAAGTCGAATTTGCCACAGCACTTCAGAGAAAGGCTTCGTAGTTGTGGACACTAGCTACAGTACTGGCATGTATCCCCTAGCTAGCAGCGACCAACCTACAATGACTACTAAGTATACGACCATGACCACATAAGTCATGGGTCTATATACACATATATTTGCATTGTCGAGATTTAATATTATGAACAGATAACACATCTCTGTATACCTTGTTCGTCCAGTCCACTGGGTGCCTAGCTCATGTGGAGTGCCGGGCTTCAGAATTAGCTTGTATTCCCCCGGGGGTGCAAATACCCTGGAAGCTCTACTCCCATAAGAAATGATTACCTGGCTTATGTATAGTATATAGAATAAGAAGTATGACTTCGACCATGACGGGCTCACCTTCCCAATCAGCTAGTACCATAATACACACCCAGCTTTAGATCCTATGACACCCCACAAGCTCGGAACACTCGCGCAGCAAGGCCATTGTTACCTGGAGTCTGGAGCCCATCCGTGTAACATGACACGGCAGAATGGGAGGATCTGGCGGATCGTGGGTGTTCATGTATTGGGAACCTATTTCTTAACTAGTGCAGCTACACAGCCCTATCTTTCACAGCTTTGCTAATTCCGATGGCATCTATATGTACATGTGATACGAGATCTAGCAGGCTTTACCCCATGAAAGTCTAGATGTACCTGCACAGTGCACTATGGCTACAGCCTGTCATCAGGTTTAGAGCTATCATATGGGAGCTTGGGTAGGCATTACTTATTCTAGGTAGTCTCAACTATGTGTGCAGTACTCCAGTCGAGCTACGTCTACAAATGACATGCAGTGCTGGATTTCCAGATGACCACAGCAGCTATTGTATCTGCATGTCAACAGCATATCAAGCCTAAATATCCCCACGAGCCTCTGGACTCCAATCCCTCTGAATCCGAACATCCAACTGTCCTTGCCTGGGCTTCTAGCTTTAGGGTTTAGTGTTCAGGGTTCAGGTCTTAATTATTTAAATGAGTACCTACCTTGATATAGGGCTGATGCGGAATAGTTACAAACAGACACTCATTCTACAGCAGACCCTGCATACCCACATATTAAAGAACTATTCATGTACGGCATACATATACATAATTATAAATATGCACATGTAGTTGTCTGTACATACATATAATAATGTGTAGTACTGAGTCTGCATAGAACAAAAAAAAACGCCCTGGCCCACCTGTTGATATCGATTCGCCCCGGGTCTTCGGCAAGGCCGAGATAGCCGCACACAGATCCAAGGCCCAGCTAGGTGCAACATACTGGAGCAGTTAACCATTCCTATAGCAGCAGGAACAACAGTAGACACATCTTACATAGGCCTACGTCACCCCACTGCACTGGCCACTCTATCGGACTCTTACGAAGTATATATGTACCATCACTGTACTTATAAGGCTAACACCTGCTAGGCAGTACCACACTCGACTTGAACTTCACAAGCTCCTGTCTGCCGCTGAAACTGTGCACTCCTGCTGAGGCATGCACCACATACAGCGGTGGCAAGGAGGGAAGCTCCGGACTGGGAGGCATCTATGCACGGCATTCTTCGGGGTTAAGCTGCAGACTCCTAGACATCTTCAGTCCCTAAAAACATGATGCTTCCCCCCTGCAATCTTCGCCTCGGGATGCTTATAGGGAATGCAATGCAAATTGCAATACTCCTCAAAAACCTCTTGACTTCCAGTCAATGCAAAAGGGAGGTCACCATTGGGGTGGAAGTCCCCTTCAGAGATGGCCTCCTCCAAGAAGGTCTTGATGACACCCAGGTCCGCATGGCTCCAATCCCCACCAGGATCCTGAAGCGCATGATCACAGAGATGCACACCTATACTGTAGCTAGTATAATTATGTGTCACTTGTAATCACATGATGCACATGTATTAGCTAGCTTGCCGAGTGGCTTGGTACCCGAATTGCAACAGCACGGAGAGGTCGGGCATTTCCGGGTCAGTAGCCTTAACTTGCAATTACATGTTCGGGAACGAGCTGCACTGCACTGGCATCTACAATTAATTACATTGTGAATAGAACCTGCCCCATGCTTGTTCAGCGCCCCACCAGCCACTCGTTGTGAAGGGCACATACTCGCTTCCCGAAGTCGGCAGGGTAGGCACTGGAGGCTGTCAGGTCTTTGCCACCCGTCCTTACACTAGCATGCTTGGAAGACTGCCACCAGCAGACCATGTTTGTGATGGGAAGTAACCACTGCTGTGCACTCAACTGAAACCTGAGGACCCTACACCTTCCGCTCGCCCTCAATAAAAGTGACCTTGACCATCTCAACATCCCTCTTCCGCTTTCTCAAGCCAGCTTTGACCTCCGGTGTGAGCTTCCCGTACAGCTGCCATAGCCAGGGCCTCGGAATGGAGTTACATCTCGGGCACTGTCTAACAATGCAGCGATTCAACATTTTAGGAAGGGTTGCTAGTGTATGTAAACATATATATATATATATGTAAATGTATATCACAGGATTTGCGGGTTTGGTTTACATATTCTACTATAACGAGGATGGTCTATGTAGATGTTTTGCATACATCAACTATAGTATATATATACAATACAAAAAAGGATGAATTACATGCATGCATCGCTAATAATAATAGTGGGGTACACAGATGGCTAGCACACACTATGTGACTACGATGTCTAGACAGATATTGGTTGGAACTTGTGTGTCTCGTACATGTACGTGTGCACATATGCAAGTATATTGAGTCTTGCAAGCATCTATGTGTGTAGGGATGTGTACACATGTTGAATTTGTAGATTTGTGTATACATATAATATATATTTTATTTATACCCACACATACGTATCTGAATACCTGGACGTACTACATTATTATTCTGCTGAGTTAAACATATGCATGCGTGTATTCCATATAAAAGTATATATACTTACACACAGCTCCTTCGATGTGGAAATGAAGAAGTACGTAGCTGCATACTATCCAGCTCGTGCTGGCTCTGTAGATGACAATCGTGATAAGCTTGGCCATGGGGTTTATAGATAGCATAGGGCACTTATCTGGGGGATTACCTTCATTTATATGGGTTTACAAGGTCCTCAGGTC